ACGTCAGTCATCAACAAATTTATGAGAAAACTGTAGTAAGATACTATCTGTGTCTGTGTATGTGTCTTACTATTTTTCTAACTTTTTACCTCACCAAAATCTGAAAAGAAAACACAGATAAATCAATAGATATGTTGCTAAAGTGTAAACTGACCTAAAAGTTAATATAAACCACTGAAGAGTCAGTAAATTTTTAAGGTAAAACTAGAAATTCTTGGAATGACCTCATTTTTCTGAGAAAAGCCTATTGTTGAATTTGTTTCTAGTTTTTACTAGCCAGCCTGATAAGAATGTATCATTCAATGTATCCATGCATAGCTTTCTTCAAGTTCCGAAACTAGCAAAAAATGGTAAATCACACTCATAATCGGTAGCTGAATCAACAAGTTCCTTTATTTACAATTCGACACAGATGATTTTACTCCAAGTACATAAAGTAAATAAATTTGGATTACATACTTTGTACGTAATCCAAATTTATCGAGTCAAAAGAAATTTGAACATAGATTAGGCAAACAATACATGTACTTTTAAATGCTATAAGAACTCGTCCATAGTATAATACGAGTTATCCAGTAAGTATGTTTTCAGCGTTTTTCTGAATCTGAAGTAAGATACCTCCTGATCAGTTTTTGTCAATAGAAAACTTCCAGTGTGACCCATTTTTAATGGAAACACCCCCCTAAAATTTGAAGTTGTAAACCGATTTTAATAATTTTTTTTTGAAATGTCAAGTACTAAAAGGTCTACCTTGGGACAAAATTTGAAATGTTTATCAAAGTTTCAGGACACACTACGATATTTTTTCTTAGTCGAAAATCGGGATTTTTTATTAGCGATTTTTTTATTGAAAAAATCAGTTATGACAACTCAAAAATTCGAAAACTCACACAGCTAATAGTCACAAAAAACACCCTATATCAACAGATATAGCCATGAGAATATTTTTTTTATGATTTCAATAATAAAGTGCCGCCAGATGAAAAAAAAACAAATAGCGTAATTATTTTTAATGAAAATAACGGAATTGCATTCAAGTTTTCACGCAAATTAACTAAAACTAAGACCTAATATTTCAATTTAAATCTTAGTTGCCATGGAAATGATATTACAGTTTGANTTTCATTATGACAGGGAATTTTGTTTCTGTTTTTATGTATATAACAGGAAACTTCCAATATATATATATATATGCAGAAAAGTGGGAGTACATTAATTTTTTTAAAAAGAGGTTTGCATGATTCTCTCTGATTTTTATTTAGCATTGCACGTATGCATTTTTTTGTACTAGGAATAGTTTTTGTGCTGAAGATGACATGCCCCATAACAAAATTCCATATGATAGTAGGGATTGTATTTCCGCAAAATAATAATTTCTAAGAACATTTATATTAATTACTCTCTGAAGACATCTGATCTGGTAAAGCTCACTATTGAATTTTTTTATTGTTTCACTTATGTGAGATCCCCAATCAAGTGTATCTCTCATAGTTACACCCAGAAATTTAATGGTGTGGCACTTCTCTAGAGTCATTTCCCCTAAATGAATCTCTATATTTTCAGCCGTTCTCTGTTTTGTGTGGTAAATAATGAACTGTGTCTTGCTAGCATTGATATGAAGACTATCAATGGAGAACCATAGAATGATTTTTACCATGAGATCATTGCAAGCTTGTTGATTGAGATCGTGAGATTTTTGTGATACTAATATGGAGAGATCATCAGCGTATAACGTTAATTTAAAATGTGAGAGGTATTTTACAATGTCTGCTATGTAGATTGAAAATAGAGCTGGAGCAAGAACACTTCCCTGAGGAACTCCAACTTCCACAGGTGCAAGATGAGAGTGGTGAATTGTGTTTCGACCGCTATTCTCATTGCAAGATATTTGTACATACTGATATCTATTTTTGAGAAAAGATTCGAACCAGCTAAGAGCAGATCCCCTGGTACCATAAGACCAAAGCTTGTCAAGTAGTCGATCGTGTGGAACACAATCAAAGGTTTTACTTAAGTCACAATATATGCCTATAGGGCTCCTTTTTTTCTAGTTCATTGAGAATGTGTATATATGTATCTATGGTTGCCGTAGATGTAGATTCAGATTTTCTGAATCCATGCTGTTCTCCTGGGATAATTCTGAACCTTTCAATGAATGAGTTTAGCCTCTTTAGCATACAATATTCAAAAAGTTTGGAAAAAACTGATGTAAGTGATATGGGTCTATAGTTATTCATTATATTTTTTGCCTTCTTTTTATGGAGTGGAATCACTTCCGCTATTTTGAGAGCGTCGGGAAATATGTCTGTTTCCAGTGAAACAGGCATATTTATTAAGTGAGTTATAGGTTTCACCAAATAATTTTCGAATTACTTATTCTATTATATTGTTAGGTAAGTCATTAGGTCCAGACGAACATTTATTTTTGAGTTTAGAGAATATATTTAGCATTTCTTCCAGCATATGACAAGGTATCACAGAGTAGCCACTCCATCAAGAGATTTTTTAAAAGTACATAAGCTCATACCAGTTATACATACACCATTTGATAGGTGATAGGGAATGCTGAAAAGTTCACAATTTCTTGTGATAAAATCAAATCAGGTCGATTATTTGAAGGTGGTTGACAATGTTTCGTGGTGTATTTCATCAGTTCGAACTTCCATTGTTTAATATAATATAAATTGATCTGAAATCAGGGATTTCAAATCAAATACGTATTTCCTTGTAATTTCAGTTTTTTGTTTTACTAAAATTGTTATTTTCGGTCAATTCGAAATGTGCTACAATACCTAGGAATAATTATTTGTACCCTGGTGTAAGCCCATTTTATACATGCTCAAGATAATGACTATGAATTTGGATATCGGAGACAAGAATATATGAGTGATGTGTATAATGTTTTTGTTGAAAGAATTGACAATTTCTGTATATTTCTAAGAACAAAACCTAGTTTTCCGGAGCCATTGCTCACAGCTAAAACAAAAGTTTTTAATCAAATAATACTCCAAAGTCCTTAACAACCGATACTCTTTTGATGTTCTTATCATCAATATGATAGTCATTTTGGATTATGGAATTTGCTCTACTAAAAGTAATACTTTGACATGTTGGAAGTTATGTTATATTTGGTACTTGTGAGTCTTCTACTTATATTTCCTATAAATTCAGTTGAGTGACTCTTCAGTGTCAACAAAAACACATTCGTTTTCAATCGCGTACACCACGATCACGTTAGCAGGTCAGTGTCAACAATACGTTATCCCTGTCGCATATTTTATCAACCAGGCACCTTCGGCAATCAAATTCGGGCTAAATATTTTTTTATTCTACGTCGACTCCTGTGTCTCACGTATAATAAGCAGGACCGGCGCGGGATTCAATAATAATTAGAACGAAGTTGCACTATTGGGTGTTTCAAAAGATTGTCTCATTAGAATATTGTTATTAATATTTCTAATATTTTCAGAATTCTTGACGGCGAGTCTTTTTATTCCAAAGCTCTGTATGTGAACTTCTTAGATCTACATTGTATGTTTCTTCTCAAATATTCCAATTCAATAATATGTCTCTTGGAGGGTCTACTCGACCGTCCACCGCAACCCGCAAGGGTTCATTGTGGCTCACACATATTCACACTCGACCACAACCCAATAAACCCAGCTTCTTAACGAAGCCGATTAGTTTGTATGGTGAGTGGTCTTTCAGGTCAGATGGACCAAATCAGGTCACCGCTGGGGACCTGATTCGGTCTCAGCGGGGCAGGAACAAAGTATGTGCTCTGCCGTTTCATCATTTTTCGAACAGAGGCGACACACACTGTCTTCCTACAGTCCACGTCTCTGTATATGATGATTCAAATGACAGATGACAGTGATCTGTAAGAAGGCCTGTTAGACATCGTAGTTCATCCCTACTGTAGTCCAACAACTGTTGTGGTATCAAACTTCAAAGGGTGAATAAACGACTTGGAGTGAGAATCCTGGAAGATTCTGTCAGAAGTCCATACATTTTTTCAAGGAACGGAAGTTGTGAAGCATTGTTTGCAGTTTTTTTATTGTATATTTTATATGAGAGTCCCACCTTAAGTTTCTATCTATGTAAACGCCCAAGTATTTGATTTCTCTCAGGGAATCTATTTTTATTGTTTTTCCTTGTTTAAATGGAAAATCATTGGATATATTGCAGCTGAAAGGAAGAAAATTAGTTTTTTCCAGATTCATTGTCAGGAGCCTTTGATCAAACCATTTTTTGAGCAAGTGGAAATCTGTTTCTACGTTCTTTTTCAAATCAAGCCAAGTGTCTGCCTCATAGAATATCGCAGTATCGTCTGCGTATCCAATTATTTTCCCAACGCTGTCCAAATTGAATAATTCATTTAGATATGAATTGAAAAGCAGAGGACCCAGTACCGTACCTTGTGGGTACAATAGATTGATCTATATATCCATCAGGAGATGACTAAAACTAATTTTTGTCATCTCCTGGAGATGCTAACTTGGTTAGCATGTAAGAAAACTCACTAGATTTCAAGCCCTACAACCATTTACCATTTGATATCACATATTTCAGCACACCCATTTTCAAAAAGAGAGTTCAAGTATACCTTTCAAAAACTTGTTTTCATTCACTACAGGACTTCATGAACTCACCCTATATAGAAAATTATCTTTTAAGCTTTTGTTTCTAATTTGAACGTTATCCTGTTTCTTAGTTTTCCAATTCTGTATAAGAGACGTGTACCACTTGCTTTCATTACTAGATACGGAAATTAACGATATAGAATTTTTTGCCACTACAAAAAAATCCGAAGTTTTTGTTGTGGATAATATATTATCATCAAAAACAATTTTTATGTCTGACCGTGAAGTTTGGTTGATTTTCAGAATACTCTTTCCATACCCTAACTTCGTAAAGTCCATATAAGTATTCCATGTTCTTGCAAATTTTACCACTTAATACAAAAAATTAAAAAATTCAAATAACATTTTCGGTCCGCTTTTTCTGAAACCAACCCTGGCAAACAATTGTTTATCGTATAAATACCGCTGGTACAGTTTTGATAAGCATCAGTTAATTGTTCGGTATCTTCAGCTGACAATCTCCCAGAAGAAATGAAGGTATGTTAATGAACTTACTACCGGTGAGTTGCTGACTGGTATAAATTAATAGTGATGAGGTTCAACAAGGCATACGAATCCTTGCTTCGTTGCGGCAATGTCAAAAAAAGATTCGTATGTGGCAGGTGAAAATTATGGGTTGTACGACAAGATTGATGTAGGTGGAATATTTCAGAGTATTATGAAAAGTGGAGTTTTATAGAGTTTTAGTTTTATGGATTCAGGGTAGATAGGGTCAAAGTTTGATTAGGAGTTTTCAGTCACTAGATGGAGGAGTGGAAAGAAATAGATATTATAACTATTATATTGTAGATGTTGGAGGAGTCTTAATCAAATTGCGTTATTTTATAGTCCTTCGTAGCAGTTGTCCTCTTCGTGGTGTCTATTGTAGCGACAGAGCCGCAGAGTGGAGGATACCAATCAAACCAAGCTTCTGCGAATAGCCCTTATGCTCCAAGTGGATGGAGACCTAACGGTCCTGCATTTCGTTTACCTGATCGATTTCAGAAATCTCAAGGTAATTTTCAAACACCAAATAAACCTTTTCCGAAATTACATCTTAAATGTACTCGTCTGTTTTTCAGCTCCACCTGCAGCATACGGTCCACCTCAACAGGAATATGGACCCCCAGATAATGAAATGACAACAACAGAAGCAGCAACAACAACTGAAGCTGCATTTGAGCAAGCCACTGAACTATCTGAGGTAAGATTTGAACGATGTTGATCTTTGAAAATATCAACAAATTTCATTTGAACGATACATAAAGTATACAGTAACAATTTTTTGGAAATTTTGTTCATTTTAACTGTTGTTGAATAATCCCGGAAATTTCAACTGATTTTTCCTTGGGGGACTTGGCAATATTTTTTTCCATCTTCATTAAATAGTAAATTTATTTTTCAATAATTTTCTATAGATTATGACAAGAGTAGAGTTAATTGAATTCCACACTTCAACTTTGGTGATATAAGAGAAATAATAACTCTTTTACTATTATAGCAATCGTCAAATAGCCGGTAGAGCATTAAGTACAGCATTTACCTCAGGCTACAGATATAAACTTCTCTTCGTGGAAAAAGTTCCTTAAAACCAATTTATAAAAGTGCCAAAAAAGGTAAATTCTTAGTGAGTCAAAAGATATCACGAGATTTGTAAAAGAAAAATATGGTTTTTGTCGCCAAAAATTCACCTTAACGAACGTATATCACATACATCATGAATATGACATCATAAAAGCTCCAGATTGACAATGTACACCCATACTTCCTCAAAGCTTTTAATATAGTCAACCATCATTTTTTAGTTGCTTGCAAAAGCAAAAGAATTTGGGAAAAAATGATTTGATATGGGCTCATTACTATTCAACCTTTCCGCAAACGACTTTAATCATTTGCAATAATTGATGCTTAGAGTTTGCTGACGCCTTGGTGAAGTTACAACAGTTCGAAATATTTGTGACACTAAGATTTTCCAGTCCTAGTTAAATAATTTCATTAAAAACAACTTGCTGTCATTGAATAACATAATTATCTTGTTGACTTTACTCATAAAAATCAATATTACCGCATCAAAGTGATCAATAGGTATCAAAGATTTTGAAGTTACACATTCGATAGTAAAATGACCTTCAAATGTCACATAAACAAAATGCAAAGCTCATTAAATGTTAGATTTTTTGCGCAGATTGAGCTAGTAAATTCTGTTAGGAAAATATTTTGTGCTGTAGACTATAAATTATGTTCTGTTATTATTACCTAAACTTACATATATGCACTGTTTTGATAGGGCCTCATTTTATGAACTTACATTCGCTTGCACGTTGGATACATAAATAAATGAATAAATAAGGTTGCCGAAGTGGTAAGATGCTAAATTGCACAGTTTCAAAACTCCCGCTTTTTTCGTTGTTCAGATCTCTCATTTCCCTTCTCCAAATAATAGCTGAAACTATATATCAGCACTGAATAAAATTCCACTCATATTTCTGTTTTCAACTCTGAAATGAACTCTTCACGTTGCAGGCGGAAAACATGAAGCAAGCCCCTCGCAGCGAGAAACTCCAGTCTGCCAAAACTGAGATTGCACCAGCCCAACCCAATCCCGTGTATGTGGTCATTCCCCAGACCCAACAAGTGATTTTCAGCTCTCCGTTAAGAGCCATCAACCCCAGCCTGGTCACTGTCAACCGCCCAGAGAAACTCGTCGAGGTGGCCGACCCTTCCCCGGTACCAGTTCAAGCAGTCCCAGCTCTGGCGAAAATTCAGGCTGCTCCTGCTCCAGTGCTGGTCGAACAATATCCCCAGGCAGTGCAGTACCAACAGATTCAGGCGTTTCCCTTAGATAATTACGCTTCCTTTGTCTCAAGGACATCAGTTGTTTCGCCATATAGCTCGTCATTCGTCCAGATTTATCAATAATGAATTTCATTGGTAATTATTCATTTGTTGATTGAATATTCATGTAAATATTATCGATATATGTATATTTATTGTTGAGTTATGCCATGAGTAATCGGTTTGGAAAAATAATTATATTAAGTACATTTCATTTCACACAAAAAGTAATGATAATTGTTTTTGAAAGGTATTAATAGTTATTAACTGAACATTAAATGAATGATTGATATATATATTTGTTTTAATTGAGAAACATCTTCAAGTTTATGATAGACTAGACTGTCTTGGACCACTTGGTGCCGCATTTTAAACATATTTTGAATTTTTTTATATTATGTTTCTGTGAAAAATTTGACCTTCTCAATCACGGCATCCTAAAAAACACTGTTCTAGCGTTGTTTCAACTATGACATAATCAAATCGGACTTGTCAATTTGAAAAATATTTTTTTCTTATTTTTCCAAATGTTATGATAATTGTTCTACTATTCGGAGCGGCGACAAATCCAACGAATCAAAAATCAGTTAAAAATGGTGTTACAAAAGGTCACGATCGATTAGATATTGATAAAAAATAATTTTGTCAACTGAGAGTTTATGTCAAAATCATGTTTAATAATA